AGGAAATTCTGTCTTTTTTAAAGACAAAAATTTTTGAGGCGAAATACCCAAAAAGAAGTTTGTAAAAAATTAATCCGCCTCAACAATATAGAACTTATCTAAATACCTACATACTAACATGAGCAAATTTACTCGAAAATATTTTTGCATAACGAATCTTCAACGTTTACGTATTGTGTTCACGTTACCAAGCACTCCATACAACCCTGTATTATCGGGAGACCATTTTTGAATATTCCTTTTAGGATATACGGGGAATGGATACTACTGTGCCGACCTAAATGAATGCGAATTATTCAATGGAGGCTGCAGCCTCAATCCATATGTAGAATGTATAAATACTCTTGTAAGTTATCCCACACAGTGGCTTTTGACTCTAACAGAAATTCGGAACACCTCGTTTGGTTTTAGGGTTCGAAGAACTGCGGGCCATGCCCTGCAGGCTATAGAGGAGACGGCAAAACATGCACATTTAGCGGCATTTGCAATATCAACAACGGCGGATGTAACATTCTAGCCACATGCGTGCACATTCCCAGTAAATCTTCACCATTCCTCCAGTAACTCTTCCATTAATTGCTTGCTGTTCTTCTAGCCATATCCGAGACGTTTGTTCAATGCACTTGCCCTGCAGGATATTCCGGGTCTGGAATAGGTCCAGCGGGTTGTGCTAAGACCACAATGTCGATTCCCAGTTGCAACCCCAATCCATGCGTGCATGGCATATGTTTAATAAGCAACGTTACGCAGGCAGTCACATGTAATTGTAATGAGGGATTTACTGGGGCTCTATGCGATCAACCGAACAATCCATGTGCAAGAAACCCTTGCTGGAATGGGGGCACTTGCAACCCAAGGAACAATTACCGGTTTACTTGCTCATGCTTGCCCGGCTTGGTTGGAAGACTCTGTCAGAGGGAAAGACAAGGTACAAACTCTCAATTGTAACTCATTGAAGTGCTCATCACATCTTATAGTTTGCGGGGAAACTTTCAACTCAACGACTGGAACCCTCACTTATCCGCCAAAGGATTTCGAATCAATTCGGACATTAAACAACTTTAAGTGCGGTTGGACCATAGAAACAGTCCTGACCGATGTTGTTACTGTAGAATTTTCAAAATTCAATCTGGCTGACGCCCCTTGCACTAGGCAGTGGCTGAAGGTAAGCTATTGGGAGCCACAATTTTTTTTTGGCTTAAACTGTAGTCTTGTGATCTAGAATCAGACTACGGTAGGATAGACATTGCAGTAAATTTAACATGCAGTATAAAAAAATTGTATCAATCGATTGTTTCCTGACTGGGCTTCAACTCTAAATCAAAATTAATTCCTGGGTTTCAGTCATTTATTGTCTCTATTTATCAATATTTTTTGATAAATAGAGACAATAAATGACTAAAACCCAGGAATGAATTTTGATTTGGAGTATAAAAAAAGGAAATTGGGCATTGCACGTTACCATGGATGGTTGAGGGATGAAACATTGAAATTAATTGCGGAATATTTGCAGTTTTTTAGTATCTGTCTTCGTTTTCGAGTTGTTTGCACAAATACAGTCCATGTAGGGTTCCTGGGTGATTTCCAATAAATGTTCTTATAATTTTTTGCGTCTTTTTTTCACATTTGTTTGTGAAAGAAATTAATTTCGTTTATTGCAGCGTTACATTTTTGTGTATTTTTATTTGGATTAGCTTACAGCCGATAACCCTGAATTATCGTAAATTAAATTAAAGTAAAAAAAAATAATTAACTCGTCAGCCATCCTTATTTCAACTTCAACTTCACTTGAAGCTTTAACAGAAAATCCGAACAAAATGTATAAAAAATTCATAGAAAATCACCCAGAAACCCTACGACATGGACTTATATTTGTGCAAATAATGGTACGGGTCCAATGGATACTTTTGTCTGGCAACAAGTCGATCGTTGCGCTACATTTGTTGCCGTGCTGTGTTCACTAGACGGCGAGTTGCAAACTCCTTTTGTATACGCAACATTGTATCATGTTCTGTGCTACAAATGTTGCGCGACTCGTGTCCACTAGAATAGCAGCAGTGAAAGCAGCGCAACAATTTTGTATCTCCAGAGACTTTTTCGTACGCGTTTCAGTCGATCACTTTCGGTTCGAAAATGTCGAGAAAACTTCCTGCTGCTCTAATTGTGCTTTGAACCATAAAAAGGCGAAAATTTGCTAAAAAATAGGAAAATATGAGTGCCCGAGTGGATAGCGAGAAGAACTGAACTCTAGGGGCTAAACAATTAATGAAATAATTATGACATGAAGATTCGGGATTTTACAAAAATCTTTTACGTGTGTCTGCAGCAGATTTTAATCATACAGGGTGATTCACAACCTTATGGACACAGAGCAGGAGCGTGTAGGTAAGGCGGCTGGTTGTAAAAATCTACAGGGTGTTCTTTTTTCTACAGGCATACCCCCCTTTACCCTCCGAGCTTTTTTGTCGTGCGCCACTGTCTTCGATCGAACACATTTTTGTATTTGATGTTCAATTTCAGAAGTTTCTGATCTCTTGCATTATTTTCGTATCTGTCTTCGTTTTCGAGTTATTTGCACAAATATAAGTCCATGTAGGGTTTCTGGGTGATTTTCTATGAATTTTTATATAATTTCTTTCGCGTCCTTTTGTTCACGTTTTTTTGTGAAATAAATTAATTTCGTTTATTACAGCGTTACGTTTTTGTGTATTTTTATTTGGATTAGCTTACAGCCGATAAACCTGAATTATCGTAAATTAAATTAAAGTAAAAAAAATAAATTAACTCGTCAGCCATCCTTATTTCAACTTCAACTTCACTTGAAGCTTTAACATAAAATCCGAACAAAAAGACACAAAAAAATGTATAAAAAATTCATAGAAAATCACCCAGAAACCCTACGACATGGACTTATATTTGTGCAAATAATGGTACGAGTCCAATGGTTACTTTTGTATGGCAACAAGTCGATTGTTGCGCTACATTTGTTGCCGTGCTGTGTTCACTAGACGGCGAGTTGCAAGTTACTTTTGTATACGCAACATTGTATCATGTTCTGTGCTACAAATGTTGCGCGACTCGTGTCCACTAGAATAGCAGCAGTGAAAGCAGCGCAACAATTTTGTATCTCCAGAGACTTTTTCGTACGCGTTTCAGTCGATCACTTTCGGTTCGAAAATGTCGAGAAAACTTGCTGCTGCTCTAATTGTGCTTTGAACCATAAAAATACGAAAATTTCCTAAAAAATAGGAAAAGATGAGTGCCCGAGTGGATAGCGAGAAGAACTGAACTCTAGGGGCTAAACAATTAATGAAATAATTATGACATGAAGATTCGGGATTTTACAAAAATCTTTTGCGTGTGTCTGCAGCAGATTTTGATTATACAGGGTGATTCACAACCTTATGGACACAGAGCAGGGGCGTGTAGGTAAGGCGGCTGGTTGTAAAAATCTACAGGGTGTTCTTTTTTCTACAGGCATACCCCCCGTTACCCCCCGAGCTTTTTTGTCGTGCGCCACTGACTTCAATCGAACCCTTTTTTGTATTTGATGTTCAATTTCAGAAGTTTCTGATCTCTTGCATTATTTTCGTACCTGTCTTCGTTTTCGCACGTTATTTGCACAAATATAAGTCCATGTAGGGTTTCTGGGTGATTTTCTATGAATTTTTATATAATTTTTTTCGCGTCCTTTTGTTCACGTTTTTTTTTTGAAATAAATTAATTTTGTTTATTACAGCGTTACATTTTTGTGTATTTTTATTTGGATTAGCTTACAGCCGATAAACTTGAATTATCGTAAATTAAATTAAAGTAAAAAAAATAAATTAACTCGTCAGCCATCCATATTTCAACTTCAACTTGCACTTGAAGCTTTAACAGAAAATTCGAACAAAAAGACACAAAAAAATGTATAAAAAATTCATAGAAAATCACCCAGAAACCCTACGACATGGACTTATATTTGTGCAAATAATGGTACAGGTCCACTGGATACTTTTGTATGGCAACAAGTCGATTGTTGCGCTACATTTGTTGCCATGCTGTGTTCACTAGACGGCGAGTTGCAAGCTACTTTTGTATACGCAACATTGCATCATGTATCTGTGCTACAAATGTTGCGCGACTCGTGTCCACTAGAATAGCAGCAGTGAAAGCAGCGCAACAATTTTGTATCTCCAGAGACTTTTTCGTACGCGTTTCAGTCGATCACTTTCGGTTCGAAAATGTCGAGAAAACTTGCTGCTGCTCTAATTGTGCTTTGAACCATAAAGACGAAAATTTGCTAAAAAATAGGAAAAGATGAGTGCCCGAGTGGATAGCGAGAAGAACTGAACTCTAGGGGCTAAACAATTAATGAAATAATTATGACATGAAGATTCGAGATTTTACAAAAATCTTTTACGTGTATCTGCAGCAGATTTTGATTATACAGGGTGATTCACAACCTTATGGACACAGAGCAGGGGCGTGTAGGTAAGGCGGCTGGTTGTAAAAATCTACAGGGTGTTCTTTTTTCTACAGGCATACCCCCCGAGCTTTTTTGTCGTGAGCCACTGTCTTCGATCGAACACATTTTTGCATTTGATGTTCAATTTCAGAAGTTTCTGATCTCTTGCATTATTTTCGTATCTGTCTTCTATAAGTCCATGTAGGGTTTCTGGGTGATTTTCTATGAATTTTTATATAATTTCTTTCGCGTCCTTTTGTTCACATTTTTCTCTGAAATCTTCAAGTGCAAATTGAAGTTAAAATAGGGACTGACAAGTTAACTTTAAAATTTAGTTTTTTTACTTTAATTTATTAATTTACAATATTTGAGGTTCATCGGCTGTAAGCTAACCCAAATAAAAATACATAAAAATGTAACGAATATTTCAATTTATTATGAAATTAATCTCTTTTGCTAAAAAATGAGAACAAACGGACGCAAAAAATTATAAGAAAATTCATGGAAAATCACCCAGGAACCCTACATGGACTTATATTTGTGCAAATAACTCAAAAACAAAGACAGATACTAAAAAACTGCAAATATTCCGCAATTAATTTCAATGTTTCATCCCTTAACCACTTCTCCATTGTAAAATTTTTACTGAACAAATCCTGAGAAACAAGCCACGTTTGCTTCGTACGAAACACAAGCGCAACAAGAAAACATCTCTGTCCACTTAAATGTTCTCGGGCATCAACTGGTGTATAGCCGCAACACGAATTTTGTTGCGATACACGTTTAATTTGCCCTGTCAACAGGAAACACGAGTTTCCAGCATGTTGCGCAACATTGTTGCGATACAAAAGTATCCAGTGAACCCGTACCTATAGACTCTAGCGGGAGGCAACATGCAATCAGAACGTTATTTCAATAATAGAGGCATTATTTGGACGCGTATAAGATAAATATTTAAAAAAGGAGATTTAAATTTCTTTTAAACTGCTTCAGTTGTGAATCTGGCTAGTTTTTTCAATCAGACAAGGTGCCATTGTTGACTTACTTTAGGTTCACGATGGTAGAAATGGTTTGGCCCCTGTTTTGGGAACGGTTTGTGGCAAAACGCTCCCATTTAATGGTTCCATAACCAGTACCCAAAATGCCATCTATTTTTCCCTGGGAAACACCGGGCAAATGAACAAAAGGCCTGAATTTGAATTGTCGTGGACGACAAAACACGCTGGTAAATTTCACTGCTTTACTCAAAAATTAGCACAGTATATTACACAGCTCCAATTTCAGAATGTGATTACATTCTTTCTTCGGCTGGGTCTGGAGTGATAGTATCACCTGGGTGGCCCAATAACTACCCGAATAATCGGTATGGTTTTACTGCATATTAATTCATTGTTCATATAACATCCAGTCTATCAACTTCCAGGAATTGTTACTGGTATTTCCGGGTGGAGGAGAGCAAAAGACTACTATTCCATGTTTATTCGTTGGACATTGGCACAAATGTTGACTGTACAGGAGACCGTTTGGAGGTCAGTACTGTTCGTTCAATACTCACATACATCATAAAAACAAGATTTTCAGTTTTCCAGCTACACGACCCCATCAGAGGATTCATATGGCACCTCTCTATCAGAGGATGGCACCCACATCTTTGCAAAGTTGTGCAATTCAACTATCCCTCCACCATTTCGCTCCTACAGCTATGACGGGCAGATATATTTTAAATCAGACGCAAAGGAGCCCCACGGGGGTTTTCAGATCGGATATAACTTGGTAGACGGTAAGGTTTCATTTCTTTGGTTGTCTTCAAATGACTCAGTTTTCTGTCGAAGCTATTCCTGGATGTGGAGGGACCTACACTTTAAGAGAGGGCTACATACAGTCGATAGACCTCCCGAAGAATATTGAATCAATATTATGCACATATGAAATACAAGTTCCTGTTGATGGCTACCTAGAACTGCACTTCCTGGACTTTGTTATTGAAGGAACTTGCAAAAAAACCTATACTGCCGTAAATATCAATTCTGCGCCATCATATTACAGGTCTTAGGTACACGAATATTTCCAGATATACCGAGAAACTGCGCTGGTCTCTAAACAATGTGGTAGAGCATCACCCAGTGAAACAATTAGGATCGATATCGCAAACGGGACTAAAGTATTTTTAAAATCGCAGTTTACCCAAGGCTATGCGAGCCGCTGGCGAGTTAAATATTCAACAGGTAACTTCTTCAGTCTTCTGAGCGATGCCCGATGCAATAACCAGCATATTTCCAGTCTGCGAAAAAGTTTTCACGGATCCTCTTAAGACCATTAAAGCAGACCCGAACAGCAATTGCAATTTCTTAATTCAGCAGCCGTTAGGCAACATTATTTTCCTGGACTTGACCCTAGGGTCAATGGCAAGCGGCGCACGGGTTCAGGTTGAGGATATTAAAAAACATTTACGTTGATAATAAAAATAAATTTCCAGGTATATGACGGAAATAGTGCGCTATCAGCACTATATAATGAATATACCAAACCGAATGAAAAAGTCATTATAGAATCAAATACCAATTATCTTTATATTGTTAGTACTCAGGGCAACTGGACAGGATCGTATACCGTGCTGGATATTGGTAAGCATCAGTAAAAAATAGCATCTCAGTTGGTAAGTTGTCAACTACTGATCACAGGTTGTGGAGGGCTGCACAAAGACGATTTGGGCACAATAGCGTATCCACCGCGCGCTCAAGACAAATACTTGAACGATCAGAAATGCCGGTGGATAATTCAAGCTCCACCTGGAAATGTTGTTCAATTGACCTGGCTGACTTTCAACGTTGAGCAGAGCATCGGGTGCTCGTATGATAGTGTTAAAATCTTCGACAACAACACCGATCCAGGCCGTGGAGGACTATTAGGAACATTTTGCGGATACCATTTACCGCCGATTATGTTGAGCACATCAAACATAATGACCATATATTTCAGTTCAGACCACACCATATCTGATGCCGGCTTTATTGCTTCCTACATATTCATCAAAGAAATATCCGGTAAGCAGCCATTGCTTTTAAGTTGCCTTCTATCTTTATTTTCTTCCAGTTTGTGGCGGCAACTACTTTACTTCAGCGGGTGTCATTAAATCGCCGGGCTATCCAGAGAGTTACCCAACTAACAAAGAGTGTATTTGGACTATCACAGTCCCACCAGGCAGTCAAATCATGTTGAAGTTCAAATCTTTCGATTTAGAAGCTTACTCGAGTTGCAGATATGATTACTTGGAAGTAAGGTAAAGTCAGAATTTTCTGCGTAACGTTTTATGGAAGCTCTGATGAGTCGTTATTTCGTTTATACTTTGTCGTACACAACCCAAAAATGAATTTTGGTTTGAAAAATAATGGTAATATTGAGTGGCGAAAATATCGACCGAAATACCACTTGATTCATCTGATGCGGATCTATTCAAAATCGAACTAGTAGAATTGAATTTTCATATATTTTCCGGTAACTAGAAATGGAGGTAGTTCGGCAGCCCCACTAATAGGAAGGTATTGCGGGGAAACATTTCCAGAAGAAATCCCGTCGCACACGAATAAACTATTTCTGAAATTCGAGTCGGATATGAGCAAAACATCAAGGGGTTTTGAGCTCGAGTGGACCTCGGCTTCTACTGGTAGTTGATTTTCAAGCACCAACTATGTAGAATATTTAAAAACACTGAACTTTAAGGATGTGGAGGCAATCTAAACGGTCCTACTGGTTCAATAATATCACCTCATTATCCGGAACCTTATACGAAAAGCACGGATTGCCTTTGGCAAATAAATGTGAATATCGGCTCAATAATTCGAATGGTGTTCGTTGACTTGGATTTAGAGGAGCATACAAAATGCTCAATGGATTATGTTGAGGTGAGGCTTTAAGGCGCACCTCTTCGCTTAAAATTAAGTTTTATAACTTCCCCAGTTATTCGATGGTGATAAGCTGACTTCAAAATCATTAGGAAAGTTCTGCTCACGGTACAACGAGCCAATAACAGCCACAACAAATGTTGTGCTCGTTCGATTTAGATCAGATGTCAGCTTCCAAGGACGTGGATTTAATTTGCAATATTCCGCAATCTGCACAAACACATTAACAGGTTTTGGAGGTGTTATTGAAAGTCCTAATTTCCCCAACGCCTATCCTCAAGACCAGAATTGCAATTGGGATATCGTTGTATACGAAGGAAACAAAATCAACATAAGTTTTTCAGATTTTAGCTTGGAAATACCGCCTGCATTCGATAACAATACATGCAGCTTTGATTATGTGGAGGTGAGTATCATAATATAGGTGGAAAAGTTTTCCATAAGCCTGGAAGCCTGGGGGTTTACCCGACGCGGCACCACTCTTCCATAATTGCAATAGTCCAGGGCTTAGAATCCCGGAAAAATGTTCATCAATATAACTCTCATTTCACTCATGAAAACTCGAAACTGTATGATCGTTCTATGAAGGCTTTCACGGCCGGTCAGATTACATTTAGAAATGTTTTCCGGGCTTTGAAGCCGTGGTCTATCGGAATTTCTTCCTGACGTTTCGTC